AACCCTAAAACCCCCATGGATGAATATTTACACGTAAAGTTGGAAACTTTACGTGTTATTCATGCTCTAGGAACCCAGATCTATGAATGGCATGGACTGGATTCGAGCAAAATCATGTATATGGCTCTTGCATGGAGTAGACTCGGCGTGTCGCTCATCTGACTTGGTGAGTTTAGCCATGAGTCTCCGAGTTGTCCCCTTTTTCGTTGTAGTGAGTGCAGGGTGGACTCGGTGAGTTGGAAGCCAAAACTCACCCATAAGGGAACTCGGCGAGTCAATGCCCAGACTCAACGAGTTCAAGGCAATCTTTTGAGAATCAAGGACAGACTCGGTGAGCTGTTCATACAACTCGGCAAGTCACAACATAAATTGTTCATCGGATGAAGATGAACTCGGCGAGTTGTTCATACAACTCGGCGAGTAGGATGAGGGACTGGGAAATCAGTTTAGAAGGAGAACTCGTCGAGTCAACGCCCAACTCGACGAGTAGAGACGAGTTGCAGAACAATTGTTTGGACAAGGACTCGGCGAGTTGGAGAGCTAACTCGACAAGTCGGGTCGACTGAAAGTTGACTCTGGCTTTGAATTTTATCTTGATCAAGGGTAAAATGGTCAATTTACCCAAGGGTCAGTTAGCGGTGTTTGATTGAGTGTTTTGTGGGAATTATAGCTGGAGGATTTCTGGAGCAGCAGTAGCAGCAATAGACAGTCAATTCCCACACAGACCAGCAGCTACTTCGAGGTGAGTTTTCCTTCCAGTAGGAACGGGTCTATGGCACCAAGGCCGAACCGTGTAGACGAGATGTTAGCACTAGAGTGTGGGCCGAGCCTGTATCTCTTGGGTTAGTTGATTATGATATATGTGTCAGTATGATAGAGTTGTCTATACTTGTTGTCTGTGTGATACCTGTATGTTATGGATTAGCGGTTGAGTGTAGGCAAGGCCCGTATCTCTCCGAGGGTGGAGTGTGGGCTAGACCCGTATCTCCCAGGTAGTAGAGTGTGGGCGAGGCCCGTATCTCCTGGCTAACGAAGTGTGGGCAGGGCCTGTATCTCAATGAGTGTGGGCGAGGCCCGTAACTCCTAGCTGAATGTTGTATGTTATATGCTTGCATGGTATGAGGTATTATGGGGGAGCTCACTAAGCTTCGTGCTTACGGTTTTCAGTTTTGGTTTCAGGTACCTCTTCATCTAAGGGAAAAGAGCCGGTGCGGTAGTTGCATATCACACATACGCTTTTGTTTTTCCGCACTATGGATTTTCTGGGATGTACTCTGAATTCTTATTATGATGTCACCGGTTTTCAGACATGGATTAATATCATGAATGTTTTGTAATGATGTTTTATGATTTAACCTAAATTAAAAATGAAATTTTTAACCGGTAATTTTGGGGTGTTACAGTAATGGAACGAAAGAAATTATAGAAGATTAATGATTAACATATATAGAATGGTAAAATACTTAATTTTTTTTTATTACATTGACCATTAAAGGGAGTAAAAGAGAAAAGAGAATGTGGTGTATATGTTTCTTCAGTATGTGTCCTTGCAAAATCGAATGGCTATTGTGTGGTGTTATCGTAGGCATAAATTGCCACATGACACAAACCGCACTTTGTGGTGTGCCCTCCCCCTAAGGAGTATGGTATACCGACAACGAAGGGGCTCGTGGTCTATGTGGCCACGAGCGTTGTCCGTGCACATCATCCCGAACCTTCATGGTCATGGTGATTTGTGGTGGGGAAGATGGAGGACCACAAACATTGCTTCTCTCAGCCGACCCTCTTCTTCTTCCTCTCTCTTTGGTCGTGCTGGTACATCATCACCAGTTTGTGCTTCGTGATGGTCTTCGTGCTTGCGTTGTTCATGACAAGCATTGTAGATGGCCTAAGGCTTGACTTGGTTACGTGTTGGATCACCTATATATTGTGCCCAAGTATATTTTATAAGACATATGAGCACCTAAAATTTTATAAAAAAATATGGCAATTGATTTAACAATTTTTTAAGTTTTATAAAAATGTACAAATTTACCTTTTTGCATATTTTAGGTTCATTAAAGACATATATTTGCACTATTTTTTGTTTTTTTAACTGGTAAAATCGAACATTTCCGCTAAACTTAAAAGGTTTGAATGAACCAGGAAAACAATAAAATGAATATTTTTGCCAAATGAAAGGGCACTAATTAACTAGAAATACGCAAAAGGGTTAAAATGGTTTTATTTGCAAACATCTGACTTTAACGAATCTAACATACACAAATACGTAAATTCGTACATTTCTACCAAATATACGTGCTTTTATGTCATTTATATTGTTGCAAATGAAATTTTATTTGTTTAACAAAGGCTATAACTCCTATTATGTTGTCGAATACTTACAGGGGAATCACAAATGGAGGAATTGATATTTCTCATTTTTTTTATGCTGACGATGTTCTTCTTATGGCAGAGTGGAATCAGGAAAACGCCCTTCATATTGTCCGAATCCTTAGATGTTTTTTTGGCTTCGGGGTTGAAAATTAATCTCCATAAAAGTAAGCTATACGGTGTGGGGGTGACAACTAATCAAGTATCTTATTTGGCTACTTGTATGGGTTGTTCTTCGAGTTCGCTTCCTTTTATTCATTTGGGTGTTCCGATTGGTTAGAATACGTCTAGAATTGATTCTTGGGGTTCTATTATTGATTCTTTGCAAAAAAAATTGACGGTCTGGAAAGCTAAAGCCCTTTCATTTGGGGGTCGAATGACTCTTGTTAGAGCTGTTTTGGGATCTATTGGTAGCTATTTGATGTCTATTTATCCAGTTCCACTAACGGTGATAAATCAGTTGGAGAAATTGAGGTATTTGTTTTTTTGGGGGGCTGAGTTGGATGAGCGTTGTATGAATTGGATTAAATGGGATAAAGTGCTGGCTCCCACTGATGTTGGTGGTTTGGGGATTGGTAGTCTTTTTGCTTTTAATAGGGCTTTATTACTACGTTGGAAGTGGCGTTTCTTCCATAACCCAAATTTATTATGGGTTAGGGTGGTTAAAATCTTATATGGTTTGGGTGAGGTCACAAATCCGATGATTTTGCAGAGATTATTGACGGGTCCTTGGAGGTATATTACAAGGATTGTGGATAATCTAAAAGACCGGGGTTTTGATTTCCATAGTTTAGCTCCTATTCGGATTGGTGATGGGGATAGTACTTCTTTTTGGCATGATACTTGGAAGGGTGATAGTCCACTAGCTATTTCCTTTCATAGAATTTTTGCTTTAGATATTAATCGTTCAACCAATGTAAGGAATCATTTTTTAATTGGATGGAACACGGAAGATCTAAGACGTTTGCCCAGAGGTGGGATATAACAAGTTCAATGGGAGTCTTTTTTGGAGGAGATGCAGAATGTACAACTTCAACAAGTCCCGGATAAGTTGGGTTGGTCTCTTGATAGTTCTGACTCTTACTCTGTTTCGTCAGCTCGTCATGCTTTGGATAGTGGTCTAGTTGATTCAGGGGATATGGCTACTAGATGGAATAATTGGGTTCCTATTAAACTCAATATTCTTATATGGAGGATTCAGTTGTCTAGTATTCCTACAAGGGAGAGATTATCTAGGAAAGGTATTATGGTTCCTTCTATTGTGTGCCATATTTGTTTGGATGAAGTAAAGACCATTGAGCATATTTTTACAGTATGTCCTGACTTGATTAACATATGGGTAAGAGTAGCTATTTGGTGGGTAGTATCTATCCCGGTTCATCTTTCAATGCATTCGTTAATCAACTGGTCAGAAAATGTCAATCTACGTAGAGGGCAAAGGAAGATTTTTGATGCGGTAATTATCACTTCTTTTTGGTGCTTATGGAATTTTCGTAATACTTCTATTTTTGGGACGGTTATACCAAAGAAATCAGTTCTTTTTTATGAGGTCGTTGAGAAGTCTTTCTTTTGGATTTCTAATAGATGTAGTAGAGTAAAATTACATTGGACTGATTGGCTTCGTAACCCAAAGTTAGCTTCCTCTAAAATGTAATTTCTTGCTAGCTTCTTGCTAGTGTTTTTTTTTTTTTTTAATAAAATTCTGTTGTTCAAAAAAAAAAATTAATGCATTAGCTATAGAGGGAATAAGAGTTACCATTCAATTGAATTAATGTCTTATCTGATGTGAATAATAACGATAACCATAACAGTAATAAGTAACACTAACAATAAAATCACAAAAAGTTGTTGACTCTTATATAATAAATTAGACGTATATTCGTGCGTTGCGTAAAATAAAAATATATAGTTAATTTTTTTTCTATATACATATTGAAAATAATAACTACAATATAATAACGCTTACACTATGTTTGGTATATAAATTTCTAATTATTTTGAACGGTATTATAAAATACACATTTATCATAATTATATCATTCAATAACGCTTACCAGCGGTCTGCGTTTAAATAAAACAAAACATGGTTTTCGATTTAATATTTCAATTTAAGTTTATGATTAATAAAGAATTTAGAAATTATTTATCTATTGTTTTTTTTTTTTAATTTCGTTGATGATGGTTAATTGATATATAAAATCGTTTTTTAGTTAACACAATGTCATTTTTTTTTGTTAATTATTAGAAATCACTTATTTGGAAAAATATTAATTATAATATTAAATACTGTTTATTATTTTTTATTTAATTTGACTCGTACTTTCAACATTATAATATTTAGACAAAACTTCATAAATGGTCGTATGGTTTCACGAAATCTAAAGTTTCATCTATAACTTTAAAAAACCTCGCAGATAGTCCTTATGGTTTCAAAACTTTTAATGTTTAGTCCTTGTGGTTCACTTCGTCAGTATTTGTCCATTAAGTGTTGGACATTTCGGCATTTCACTACTCATGGACCATTTATGAAGTTTTGCCTTATTTAAAAAAAATAAAAAAATATATATAACTATTTAATAAAAGTCTCTCTCTCTCTCTCTCTCTCAATCAATAAATACGCCGTCACCATGGGTTGCTCAATCACAACCACTACTACCTCCGCCACACTCCCTTTTTATCCTCCTCTTTCCGCCCCTCTCTCCAAACTCCACCTCCATCACAGCTCTCTTCTCTTCTTCTCTACCACAACCACCGCTCTTTCCTCTTCCATCTCTATAGCCTCACCACCACCACAAAAACAACTTGACACCACCAATATTTACTGTGTATTCATGGACTTAAGTATCTTCCCTAGCTACTTCTATACTCGAACCCTAGTATCAGATCTCTCCCTCTGTCCTGATACCAAACCCGTCGGCCGCATAATCCTCGGCCTCTACGACAACCTCATCCCCATCACTGTTTCCATTTTCATATCCATGTGCACCGGTTACTACAAAGGAACACTAATTCATAAGATCTTTCATGGTTGGTTTTTTATGGCGGGATATCAAGGATGGAGTGATAAAGGAGAAGTAAAGCTAAGAATAAGTTTTGTTAGAATATCGACCCTATGGCTTTCCAGTTAGGGCACACGAAGGGTGACTTTTATCGTTTTTCTTATCGGAAAACGATGATGATGGTGGTATTAAACTCGATCTAAACTATCATAACGTCGAGTTCATGATCACGACTAACCCTTGTTCCTTGCCTTGATCGTGATGGTAGAAATATCGTTTTTGGTTCTGTTCTTGAAGGTAACTTTAATTGTCTTGGACATTTAATTAAATTAGTGTTTAAAACTATTAATTGGTAAAGGAATTGAACCTCATTTCATTAATTTGAGTATTATGCCATAAAAGATAAGAATTGGGATTAGAACTTTGATTCAAACTTCCGCTTAGTTTTGCGAAATTTCTAATTGAATCTATGGAATTCAAGTTACATTGATATACAATGTGTTCTGAGCATTCATAATGGTTCCTTTTTTTTCCATTCATAACCAGGAAACCTACACAAAATTTATTCTTTATTATTTTTTTCTACAATAATGATTTTCAATGTAACCATACTATTTGTCTGGACAAAGCTAGAGAGAAGATATTTGTAGTGTGTAATCTGGACAAAGTTAAGGTAGAAAACGTGGAGAGAAGAAGATGGGTTGGGGAAGATGGATTGGGTGATTTTTTTTTTTTTTACTTTTTCTTTACTCTGTGTGTGTGTGTGTGAGAGAGAGAGAGAGAGAGAGAGAGAGACATTAAATAGTTATATTTTATTTATTTAAATAAAACAAAACTTCATAAATAGTCCCTGGGATAGTGAAATGATGGAAATGTCATTCACTTAACAATCAAATTATATTAACAGAGTGAGACATAAGAACTAAACATTAAAAATTTTGAAATCACATGGATTATCTGTGAGTTTTTTTCTTAAGTTAAGGATGAAACTTCAAATTTTATGAAACTACAAAAACCATTAATGAAGTTTTGTTTAATATTTAAACCTTTTCAACTACTTTGAAAAATAGTATATGAATATGTTTTTAACTTTAGTTTTTATTTTAATTTATGAATTGTATTTAACATAATATCCAAATTAACAAATAAGTATAATAATGATTTTAAACGTTTACCATAATAATATGATATTTTACATTTAATATCATATTTTAAATTAATATATTAAATGTTTAAGTTGAAAACTGAAAGGACGTGTAAGTTTCAGACTAATATAAGGATAGAAAAAATGTTTCATTCATAGTATAGTATAATATGATATTATATAATGATTTATGTTCTGGATTTAACATAATATTCAAAATAACAAATAAGTGTAATAATCATTTTAGAAGTTTACCAATAATAAATTGTATTTAATATCATATTTTATATTAATAGATTAATTATAGTAAGTTGAAAACTAAAAGGTCATGCAAGTTTTAAATTAATATGGTGATAGAAAAAATATATTCTTTATAGTATAGTATCATGATATGATATGTTTTTATATAAATATATTTTATATTTCGATTTATGTTTTGATTTTAACATAATATTCAAATTAACAAATAAGTGTATTATAATAATCATTTTAAAAATAATAAATAATAATATAATATTTTGCTTTTAGTATCATATTTTAAAATAATATATTAATTATATTAAGTTGAAATTTGAAGGTTAAGCTACTTTCAAAAGAATATGGTGATAAAAAAATATCTCATTTACAGTACAATATTATATAGTTTTATTATGAATTTTTATTTGATTAACAAAGGCTATAATTATTATTATGTTGTCCAACATTTTGTAATTTGCATTTATACAATTTAAAAATGCATCACAAGTAGAGGGAATAAGAGTTAACATTAAGTTAAATTAACGTTTCATATCATGTGTATAATAATAATAATAATAATAATAATAATAATAATAATAATAATAATAAGAAAAAACATCATAAATGGTCCCTGTGGTTACCCAAAATCTGAAGTTTAGTCCATGTGGTTTAAAACCTCATAGATGGTCCTTATGTTTTCAAAACTTTTGAAGTTTGGTCATTTTTGCTAACTCCGTTAAGTTTGTCCATTAACTGAAGGCTATTTTGTCATTTCACCACCTCAGGGACCATTTATGATGTTTTCTCGTATTTAAAAAAAAGAAGAAAAAATTAAACATAATTAAATATATAAAAGGTCTCTCTCTCTCTCTCTCTCTCTCTCTCATCAACAACCAACACATATATTGGTTTTTTCTTCAATAATCAAGAACACACATATAAACATACCACCACCACTACCAAGATAATCGATAAACTAACCCTCAAGGATCAATCCTATGCCGTCTACAATGCATTTGAAGCCTTCCACCCACCTTTTCTCCTACATTGACAAACCCCCAAACCAGTGAATTCAGAATCGTTTCTGGAACAATTTTTCTTTTTTGAAGCTGAAATCATTTTTGGAAGAGAATTAAATACATCCCAACCCTTCTGCAAACAAACATACAAAGAAAACAGAAAAATAAAACCCAACACTATTCATCATTTTGAACCATTCCTTTCCTATTCTATCCCTTCTTCTTGTTTTTGTTCTTATTTATACACAAAATACCCACCTGCATCAAACAATTCACACATCAAGAGGGGCTATTTTGGGACTAGATCCAGAATAATCCCAGATATCATGTGTGGCTTTCGTTTCTTGAATGATTTGGAACCCAAAAAAACAAATGAAACTCTAATAGATATCCAGATGTGGAGTGGTTTTCGCCCGATAGATGTTGGATTAGTGTCTAAGTCTATAACTATTTTGGTATGTACTTGACTCGATTATGAGCATGGTCCTTTTGGGTTGCCTTCACCATAACAATATGTAGGATGAATTGAGGAGAGAAAAGTTTAATTATGATTTATAAATATATTATAAGAATAATATGTTAAAGGAGAAATCATAATGTTTAATTAATATTAGTCAAGAATTAATTTTGTGGCTAAAAGAGATTAATTAAACTTAGGGGACTGGATTTGTAATTATAAGATAATTGCAATTGGGCTATGGATTACTAATAATATAGGTTGGACGAATTCTATGGGAAGCCCATAAGGAATTCGTCCAAGGGATATTCCAAAGGGGTCCATGGGCTGCTTAGGGCTTAAACAATCAAATTAGGGTTTCCTAGCTTGATAACCCTAATAGCCTAAGTATATAAGGAGCCCTTAGGCACCAAAAACGTGGCTAACACTTGGATTAGGGTTTCCAGCCGCTTTTCATGCCTCCTCTCTCTTCCCTTCTTCATCTTGTTGCTTGGTGGTGTTTGTGACTCTTTCTGAAGACAAGGATTAGATTGTTATTGCTATATAACAATCAAAGGTTAGATCTAAACCCTATTTTATGTTAATATGATTAACTGTATCATAGATCTAGGGTTTATAGCTTTGGATATTCAATTGCATGTTCATTAGACAAAATAGATCCAAAAGCTATTAAGGTTTGCATGTACACCATAGGAATGATATATTGCTTGAAACCTATCAATGGTATCAGAGCCTAGGGCTGTTCATTAGTGAATTTGACGCTTATTTGATCGAAAATTGGCTGAAAATTGAAAATTTTGAGTTTTTTCGACTTGACTCGCCGAGTCCATAGTGAACTCGACGAGTCAGAGAGTCAGATGGAGCTGATTTCGGGATTTTGACCTGTTTTGACTGTGGATAATTACCTAAAACGTGTTTCGTTAATAAAATACGAATTTTATCAATATTTGGAGATTATCCTTGCCAAAATAGAAGATAACTGTCAAATTTTAAATAATCTTTTTTTTTATTAGATAAAGATTAATTATTTGTAATTTAGATTTGAATTATCTTGTGAAAAAGTTTCAATTTCCCCCTTTAGGTTTTATAGTTTAAATTTGAACTTAAAACTTTTGGTTTTGAAATTTAAATAGTTAAACCCTAATGTTTTGAAAAGTTTCAAAACTTGCCCTCAAGTTTTGGATTTTAAAACTAATTAAAAGTCTTAATTTGAAATTTTATTTTCTAAAACCCAAGTAATTTGAAAAGTTCAATTTACACCCTTATGGTTTTATTAATTAATTAAAGTGTATAATTAAAAGAGATTTAATAAAACCATAAAGTTTTGGTTTACATTTAATTATATTAAAATTATAATTGACTAAATTAGACCACATAGTATTTTAAAAGTGTAAAATACACCATATACTATATATAGCATTAATAGTCTAATATTATATATATGTATGAGTAAACAGTCAGTCTTACCGTTAGTAGGTCTCATTCACGAGGCTGGTCTATAAGGGTTGTTTAAGGAAATTGCCTATAAAATGGCGATTGAATGGGTATCCACTTTTACCCACCGCACTCTTGACTAGTGGAGGGTTGTTAGCCGAATGTGTAGGATAGGACGAAACCTTTCATTATAAGTATAATGAAGTACAAAGTAACTACATGCTTTTACAAAATTACAAATTCTAGTTACTTTAGGCAAAATGTGAAATTGTATGCTAATCCATGGGATGACACTTTGTACCCTTGCCGAGACGCTAGTGGAACGTGTGTGGTTAACCGACACACTAATTTGGGTTTGGCATTGGTGGAGAAGGGTGGCTCGATGTTTATCATAGATCAATGGAGCGTGTGTGGCTAACCGACACATAGATTAGGTGAGTAGCATTGAGTGCACCACATAGATTCGTATGGTTATTCACATCTTGTTTGTGATCATCGGCATCCCAGTCGCAAACTTGAAGAGCATAATCGAGATTAAAAATGCCATTGAAAAGTTCAATGAATCTCAAAAGATCTAGGAGTTTCAATTCATTTAAAACTTAAACTTCATTTTCGTTTTTCATGATGGAAATTGGTAAATCGTCATTTACCTACCTTCAAATATTCTGCAACTAGATTACGACATCCCTCTTCTAGGTTGTAGAGTATTGTGTTAGATCCTAGCCTTGATGTTTCATTTTGGGAAATCCCCTAAAGAGGGTTTCCGGGCCAGCTTTCGCGCACCGACTAATCCCGCGCTGCAAACATAAAGCTTTTCCTCATGCCCTGGAGTCACTGT